CTTCTCCCTCTCCCACTCCCCTTGCTTGTGTTCCCTCTCTCGCTGTCTCTCTCTCTGTCAAATAAATAAATAAAATAAAAATCTTTAATAAAAAAAAAAAAACTGCAAGGTCTTTAAGCAAAAGACACAAAGGTTAAAGGACAGGAGGCCAGCTGACTTCTCCATTCAGCCAAAGAGAAAAATGAAAAATAACACCAGTAATTCAAAATGTTTAATTATTTCCACCTTTGAAAATGCCATGTTGATGCCATTTAATTCAGAAGTCACATCATCTCTATTCATAGAAGGGAGCCCAAGGCTAATAACCAAAGCATCAGATTGCACCCAATCATTTCAGCTTTGAGGCCCATTCTGAGCTGGTCTGGGTTTGGTTGGTTGATTTGGGTTGTGGTTCAAAGACCACAGAGAGGTGAGAAAGATTGGCCAGGGTGGAAAAACCAACTGTAGATAAGCCTCATAAAGAAAACCACGACTGAAAACCAGGACAGAAAACAACAAGCACAAGTCCAGTGTAGAATAATGGAGACTCAATAATGGAGACTCAAAGCAGGAAGGACACTCCGCTCCATGACTGTTTCCAATGGCTTAACTTTTCAAATAATTAATGTGTCTTTTCATTACAACAGTAACACATGTTTGTTATAGAAAAAATTTAAACCAGATAAGCAAAAAGAAGAAAATAAAAATCACCTCAATCCCATCACTAGGAAAGAGCTACAATATTAACAATCTGGAATATATTTTGCCAGACTCTTCTGGACTCTCACTTATACATGTATACATACATGTAAACATATGTATACATACATGTAAGCACATACATACACACATACACATGTGTATAGATTTTTTTTACCAAAATGAAATCATAACATGCAAATGATTTTGAAGTTTCTTTCAAACCATAATCCTAGGCATTTAGGGATATAAACTTGCTTGGTCAGAAATTATCAAGTCCCTTTTTCTCCTGGCAAAAGCATTTCAGAAGTTTAATATGAAAAATGAGCATGATGACATGATACAGAAACTGATACTCATTTGGCTTTTCTGAATGAGGGAGAAGAAAATCACTGCTAGGCACACACCACAGTAATCACTGCTGCAGGCAAGATCCACAGGCAGATGATACAATTAGTGTGCAAAGCTTTGAGGAGAAACAAGATATTAGCATAGTCTCCAAGTATTACTCCCAAAGTATTCATTAATTACACTGTATCTTCACAGTGGAGAAACCCAGCCAACACCACCTCACCAAGGGATCAAGGTTACAGCACCAATATGAAGACATCTCAGCATCACAGGCCCCCCAGTATCATGCACTGAGGAGGCCACATCGCCTCTGTGGTTTCTTGCCAAAAATGCATTACCTCAGATTTTGGAGGAAACACCAGACGAACCTGAACTGAGGAACATTCTACAGAATAACTAGCCAGTACTCTTGAAAAGTGTCATGATTATTAAAGACAAAAAAAAAAAAAACCTGAGGAACTATCAAAGATTAGAGAGGATTAAAAAAAAATGACAACTAAATACAACACGGGATCCTAAAAAAAAAAGGACATTAGTGGGAAAAAATGGTGAAATCTGAATAAAGTCTGCAGCTGGGCTAATATTAAAAAAAGAAATAATGTCTCTACTTTCAAGGCAGTGAAAAAGGAGAGCAGAAGCAGTATCATAATTACTCTCCAGTCACTGTAAGTATAACTGCTTCAGAACACTAAACCCAACTCTAAGAGTGCTAGAAGCATCCTTCGCCACTAGGTAAACACAAAGCAGAGGCAGATAATCGCAAGTTAAACGGGTTCCTCTTATCATTAAATTGTAGAGCAATAAATAACCTATTATTCCAAATCAAATAAGCATGTGCACATACACACACACAGAAAATCTGGGCACACTATTGATAACTATTTACATTACCTAAAAAAATCTTGGAATTCCTCCGTTTTGGTAAAGCTCCACCAGATGCCCCTCTTACCTTCTGAAAAGAAAACAAGAGATTGTTAAAATGCAGCCTATAGAACAGACAATGGGGAAAAAGTGGGGAGAATACATCTCACAAGTTCTCGGATTTTACAAAAGGCCAAGATGAAATTCTCAACCTGGACTAGAGATCCAGGATAAACCAGAACTTGACCAGGTCAATGGAGGTAGGTGAAGGGCAATGCTATTGTTCTACCTGATTATTTTCACCAAGTTATCAAGACAGCACTTCTGGAAAGGGAAAGGAACCAGGGATCAAGGTGAACTAGACATTTCAACTTCGAATCAGCATATACTCCCAAGAGGCTGGAGTCCATGCCCAATGCTGGAACTACTCTGGAGAGATGATGGTGACTCCTGGAGAGAAGGCTCTTATTCCCTTATCCCCCTGCTACCCACTGGGTCCCTGTGCTTGGTCCTGGGCATGCACAACAATCACTGTTGAAAGAGCAAATAAATACTGATAAGCAGTCGCTGATATTCTGGTCATATTAAATCTCAGTCTAACCTCCCTGAACATTTCTGGAGCACCAACTAATGGCTAGTTGCCATCTGAGGCTTCGTGGATTTTCTACCTCTGGTAGAAGTCTGTGGCAGCAATGAAATAAATGCCCATCAAGTGGTTAAGCTAAAGAAATAATTCGTTACCCTTCCGACACACACAAAATTTTACCCTCAAATAGGATTATAAAAATTTTTGTTTCGGGCACCCAGGTGGCTCAGTCAGTTAAGCGTCTGCCTTCAGCTCAGGTCATGATCTCAGGGTCCTGGGATGGAGCCCCGCATCGGGCTCCCTGCTCAGTGGGGTCTGCTTCTCCCTCTCCCTCTGCTTCTCCCCCTTCTTGTGCTCGCTCTCTCTCTCAAATAAATAAAATTTAAAAAAATTTTTTTTGTTTCAAATGGCCCAAATCATATTTCTACACTGTTTGTCCTCTCGGTGATTAGAAAAGAGCACATTTCCAGCACACCATGGCATGAGGGTCAAAGCCCAGAATCTTCCCAAGTAGCCACGTGTTGTGACAGCATCGAGGCCTTGCTGCTGCTTTAGTTTGTTCCCTTACCAGTCTTAAGTCTCCTTTGCCACACTTTATTATTTGGCATTGAAGGCTGACTCATCTTTGTGATTCTCACATTAAGTTTTTACAGCTTCTACTATAAGTTTATAGTTTACATCTTAAGCATGTGAAAATGATTGAACACTTTAGCTCAAAACCTGTCTCTCCAAATACTCATGCCAAATTCTTGTCCCCTCTCTTGGAATCCCTCTCCTCCAAGGTCTCCGAGCCGCTGTTCCTCTCCCCCACGTGCCTGTCTCAAAAAAGGGATGAAATAAAACCTGTACCAAAGGCACATTTAGCAGTCCTGGAGGTCACTTGAAATCTCTCTACCAAAGTTTATGGCATGCTTTTAATTGTTCCAACCTCACTGGCTCCTCCATTCCTGCAGGATGGTGGAGTGAGAAAGAAGGAGAGGGGCTGCATGAAGACCTGTTAGACTACGAGGCTCTCCCTGATTCTGCCATTCACACCTTAGACTTGGGAGTAGATTTGCTTCCTTTCAGGAAAAACAAAAACAAAAAAACCCACTAGGTTTTCCTTCCAAAGACCATCGCCTCTGTGCCTGCTTCAGTCTCCACTAGAAATCAACAGGGTTTGAGAAACGGGAACTCCTTGGTCAGCAAACATGAGTGTGCCCATGGGTCAGGCTCTGTGATGGCACTGAGGCTGCAAAGTAGATGAAGACATGGTCCATCCCTTGAGCAGCCCATCAGCAAAGTAGGGGAGGATATATGCAAACAAATAGCTCAATAGATTCTGGTGAGTATTAAGAGATATGTGAAAAAGGTAGGATCATAAGAAGGATATGACAGTTCTGGAGGTGGAGATTGTGGGCAGGTAAGAAGAGCAGCAGGTCTGGCATTTAGCAACTGCTCAGCAAATATTTGTTCAATGGATGGATGGATGATGGATGGATAGATAGATGAATAAACAGATGAATGGATGGACAGATGGATGGATCGATGGATGATGAATGGATGGATGATGGATGAATGTGTGAATGGATGGATGATGGATGAATGTATGAATGGATGGATGATTAATGGATGAAGGAAGGAAGGAAATAAGGAAGGAAGGAAGGAACAGGTAGATAAATGGATGGATGGATGGATGGTGGATGGATAGACAGATGATGGATAAACAGATGGATATGCTGACCACAGGGAATACAAGTATGAGAGGAATGAGACATCCCAGAGAGAAAAGACAAACAGCATGTACAAAGGTATGAAATCATAGTGTATTTCATGAAGAAGTGGTTTGATATATCTAAAGCACAAAGTTAGTGGAGTAAAAGTAGAGTCAGAAAGGCTAGAAGGGGCCAGATTATGGAAGGCCTTGTAATCACATGCAAAAAAAGAAAAAAAAAATTTGGACTTCAACCTGCAACAAAGGGAGATACCAGAGATTTAAGCTTCAGAGTCCCACAGATGCACAGATACATGCATCTGAAAAGATCACTCTGGGGGCAGCATGCACACTGGCTGGGATGCAAGGAGGCAAGTTTGAAGGAAAGATTACTATGGAGAGGACAGGATGGACTTCAGAGCCATTTGGGAGGTGCAGATAACCAGACTTGGGTCACCAACCAGCCATGGAATGAAAGAAGTATCCAAAAGATTTCTAGGTCTCTAGAATTCAAGATGAAGGACAACTCTGAGAAAGAGGATTATTCACTGAGTCTGGGCACACTGAGCTCGAAGTACCTATGAGGTGTTCAAGTAGGAAAAGTCACATCAGAGTCAGATGGTCAGATCTTTGGCTCTGGAGAGACACTGATTAGGAAGTCATCGGTTCAGAGACAGTGGTTAAACAAGGAAATGGACAACACTGATGAGGAAGAGTAGCTTTCAGAGAAAGATGGTCAAAAGGCAACCTGGGAAGTGTGGATATTTAAGGAATAAATGGATGAAGAGATGCTAGTGAGACAAAGTCAGAAAAGGCAGCCTAAAAAAACAGGAGGAAGCCAGGAAAGAATGGTGCCAACGAAAGCAGGAGAGGAGCAGTTCCAAGAGGGAAGCAAGTTCAAATACTCAAAAAGCCAAGCAAAATCAGGGCTGAAACATATCCACCAAGCAAGACAACGCAGCGGTCACCGCAGCCCTGGTAGTTTTAGTGGATTAGCAGGAAGATCGACCCAACGGCAATGCTGAACTTCCAGCGAGGGATACTAGAGATGATGAGAACAGGAAAGCTTTTAAAGACACTTTACTTGAGGGATGGGTTGGCCAAAGGAGGACACAAATTACAGGGACAGTTTTGTGATGTGTTCTTTTTTAAGGTGGAAGGAAAAAGCCAGAAGAGCGAGATGTTGAAGAAAAGGGAGTTAAGGAATAAGCAAGTTTCTGAGGAGGAAACACAGCTGTGACGACAGAACATAGCTTTCTGCTGGGTTGTGGGAACCCAAGGCAAGCAGCTCAGGAAGTTCCTGTCCAGGGTCCCTGTTTCTCAGGGAAGTACAAGTCAAATCGTTTTCTAAGGATGATGAGGGAGGCCTCCCTGGTAGCGCCCTGAGGACGGCACCCAGAGTCTGGAGTGGGAGAAGCTGCAGGCCAGGTTTGCTGGGCAGTGAGTGGGCCCAGCAGAAGGGGGAGGCCAGGATTCTGACAGGGCCCCAGACCATGGTGGTGCAGGATTGCTCGCAGTGTGCTCCTGGAAGCCAGGACAACACTGACAGCATGACTAGCCAGAGCTCTGGGGACAGTTAAGGAGGCAAGACAAGGGCATAAGAGCCCCTTGAGGGCACTGGTGGTAAGAGAACATTTTAAGCCCTGAGAAGCTGTCTCAACAAACAGGGGAAGTGGCCACCTGGACAAGTCACGGGCCTGCAAACTGCAAGGAGGGAAAACAACAGAGTGAAATCAGAATAAATGAGAGCTAAACAGAGAAGGTTGTGGTCAGAGAGTGAAATATTTAACTGAAAAGTTAAGAGGCAGAGCTAACTGCACAAGACTGCCAGCATTCTGCAATTCTACCACAAGCTTTGGAACAAGTTATCTCAAGCCTCAGGGCCTAGGTTTCATTTCCACGCCCCCCCCCAGTTTCCTAAAACTTCATCATTTTATACTAAGACATATGTCCAGGACAAAGCATACCTCATAAGAATTGCTAGGTCCCACATAACAAGAGCAGTGAATATAAATCATGTACTATCAGGTGAACATTAGATTATTTTAAAGCTAATCATTGAGTTGATGGCTTATCTGACCTCCTGGCCTTTCTTCCTCCTCTTCCTCCTACTCTGCCCACTGTCCAATTTGGGGATCTCTCCTGTGTCTGGAACTTAAACAGAGAACATATTAGGTAGGCTAGGATGAACGATCAGATGAACTTCAAATCAGCATCGACTCTTTAGAAGTTCCAACACAGTCTACAAACTATTAGGACTGAAGTGAAAGCTGAATAGTATTGCTAAGTATAAAAGTCAATATTTGAATATTATAACATCCCCAAATATCATCAATAACCAATTAAAATACATAAAGTAAAAATTAGCAGTAACAACAGTTACAAAAATTACAGAGTACCTAAAAAAATCTCACAAAATACAAGCTCTTTTATTGAAAATTACAAAATAGTATTTAAGGAGACAAAAGAGAACTGAATAAACAGAGAGTATGTCATTTTGAATACTCATTCAATAAATATTTATGAAGCACCTACTATGTGCTGGGACTGTTAAGTGCTGAAGACACAGAACTGAACAAAACAGACAAAAATCCTTGCCCTCATGGAGTTTACCCGATGCTGTGGATTATAGGTTAATCTCTAAATTCACTGTGATCATGCTCAAAATCTCAACAGGATTTTTTAAACTAGATGAACTGATTCTAAAATCTACATAGAAAAATAAATGTCTAAACCCAGGGAAGTTCTGGAAAAAGTGCTTGCACTACCAGATATCAAGGCTTGCTGCAACAATGCAGAGACAGAAAAATAAGATCAACAGAAAAGAACCGAGAGCCCCAAAACAGACCCAGGTATGAATGGCCAGTCAAAATAGAAAAAAAAAGATGGTACTATAAATCATTGAAAAAGACTGCACTACTCTTGTAAGAGAGGACAACTGGTTACCAGTGAGGAAAATAAAAAACAGATTCCCATACTTCCCACAAATACAACAATAAACTATAGACTGATTAAAGTCCAAAAATGTCACACATATGCTCATGCAAACACACATGCACTTCAAAAACAAAAGTATTAAAAGAAATATGGTTATAACCTTGAGTTGGGAAACAATTTCTTAGATAAGATACAAAAGGCACAATTCATAAGAAAAAAGTTTAATAAATCTAACATCGAATTCAAAACTTCTATACACAATAATTCATAAATGAAGCAAAAAGTCAAGCCACAGACCATAAGAAAAAAGGAAAACCAGAGAAGAGAAAACCAGGATGGCCGATAGACATATATAAAGATGTCCAACCCTCACAGAAGGAAATGCCAATCATTTAGATGCCACTTTGCAACCATTAGATTGGCAAAAATCAAAAGTCTGACCAAGTGTTGGGGAGGGTGTGGGAAAACAGGAATTGATAATCAGTGCAGATAGGAGTATAAATTGGTGCAACCACACTGGGGAAGGATTTGGCAATACTTCACCAAAATGAAGATAAGCACACCCACACACAACATTACCATTTCCAGATATGTAATGGGTTGCCTCGTTTGTAGAAGCGAAAAAGAAAAAAAAAATGGGAACAATCTAAATGTTCATCTATAGGACAGCAGGATAATAAATGACAAGGTACTCTTAAGAGGGAATAATAAATCATAAAATGAATTAAGTATATTCAGATGCATTGCAACACAAATAGAGTTCAAGAACAATGTGAAAAGGGAAAGCTCTACACAGCATTATAGGTAACAGTATGATAGTATTTACCTACATCTTAAAAACACATAAAGTCCTTCTATATATTGTTCATAACTATCCATACATAAATGAAATATAATGACATACATAGGAATGAGAACAAAATCGCAGCCACGGTTACTACTGAGGAGGGAAACAAAAGGGACTTGAGCTTTCAGGAAAGCTCTTTCTCTTGCTCAAAAAAAAAAAAAAAGTCTGAAGCAAAAACATCCAAATATTTTTTTTATTTCTGATTTGTGGATTTCTGACATTATTCTGTGTACTTGTCTGTATTTTTGACTTAATTTTTTTCCTTCAATCGACTCATGTCTTATTAACACTAATGAGAAATTCAGAGGAAGAGAAAAATTAAACTGGGTAAGGTAGGGTTTGGGGAAATCTATGAATTTCTGCCAACAGTCATGTTTCTGTTTCCCATCATCAAAGGGCATCAGAAGTCACGTGGGCAGAGTAAACCCTCCAGGTGATAATGCACAGCACAACAACGTTACAGGAAAGATCTCAAGGCCAGTTCTCCCAGCGTGTGTCTCACCTCTCGCACGTGTCTTTTCAGGTGCATGTATACACTCTGTCCAGTTTTTCGAAAATGTCTTTCAACATGTTCCCTTCCAAAGGCCAAAAATGTATTCATGCATACATAGAGTCCACCTTCAGAATTCTAGGAGAAAGAGACAGATGACAAAATTAGCCGAGCATACCTCGCCAAGTCATTTAAATACAAAAAAGGGGAAGGGAAGGAGGGCGAACGAGGAAGACAAGGCCCAGCAAAAGGCCACCTGGTCGTCGTAGTCCCCTGCGATGACCCTCCAGGGCTCCACAGCCACGCACGGCAGCAGCTCCCACCCCAACCCCTGCTTCCAGGTGCTCCCGGAGAGCTGCCCACAATTTCCCAGTTGCGAGAGCCTCAGAGGCCCTGGGAAATCCACCTGCTTGTCTGACTCTCCAAACTGGGGTAAAGGACAATAAGGGAAAGAAGAAGCTTGGCCAGTGATCCAAATCCTACCACTGCAATGGTTTATCAATCACTCTTCACTGATCAGTGCAAGTCTCCGGGAACAGAAAGTTATATACTCTTTTAGCAGGACGGGGTTCTTCGATTCAAAAATATTCATCCCTGGGGCGCCTGGGTGGCTCAGTTGGTTAAGCGACTGCCTTCGGCTCAGGTCATGATCCCAGGGTCCTGGGATCGAGTCCCACATCGGGCTCCCGGCTCAGTGGGGAGCCTGCTTCTCCCTCTGACCCTCTCCTCTCTCATGCTGTTTCTCTCTCGCTTGCTCTCTAATAAATAAATAAATAAAATCTTTAAAAAAATATATATATATATTCATCCCTTCCTTCGGTGACACATGATATGTGACGGTACCCATTAATAAATTAGGACAGTTTAATAAATCAATAAAAACTTAATGAGTAAATAATAAAGGATGGAGTCCTATCCTAATCCTAGCTACTTGTTTTTGCATCTCTGATATGTGCCAGGTGCTTCTCATATACTATTTCTAAGCCTGACAATACCACAAGCTGCTTATTATTATTTCCATTTTACAGTTTAAAAAAAGAACTGAGGATAAGTCACTTGTCCAAGTTCACATGGCTTGAAAGTGTCAGTTAAACTAAAGCTATTTCTCTTTCTATGCCACATTTCAAATATTATTTAATTCCTGACATACTGACACAGTGAACAGTCAAGGATATTGTTAACATTTTGGATGCTTGAGTTTCTATCCCAATTTCATCTCTCCTCTTTCTCTCAATTTACCTATAAAATTAGTCATCCTTGGGGCATCGGGGTGGCTCAGTCGGCTGAGCATCTGATTCTTGGTTTCGACTCAGGTCATAATCTCTGGGTCGTGAGATCAAGCCCCACACTGGACTCCGGGCTCAGCTCAGAGTCTACTTGAGATTCTCCACCTCTGTCCCTTCCCTTCTCCCCCTTAAATAAATAAATAAATAAATAAATAAATAAATAAATAAAATCCATAAAATTAGCCATCCTTTCCTCAATGAAAGTGGATTTTTATTAAGCTCTTGTCAGTGTCACCTCACCAAATAATTTTTTTAAATAATTTAAAAAAAAAATCTATCAGAATTGCCAACAAGCGCCTATCAAAATTCCTTACATTTTAGTGGAGCACAAATTCAATATCAAAACAGGCACTGATGTTCACTACAAATACATGAAAAATAATTTTTAAGTTCCAATAACTCAAGATTATATATATTTTTAACTTCTAATAAAATTCTCCAACACTGTATCTTTGGTTTATAAGCCGGACATAAATGAGTCTTATCACAATGAGGATATTATAGCATCATTAGTTCAGATATGTGTCTATTATTGTAGCAAATATATTGCATAAGGCAAGAAAAGGAAAAAGGCATAAAGATCACAAATAAAGGGGCGCCTGGGTGGCTCAGTCGTTAAGCGTCTGCCTTCGGCTCAGGTCATGATCCCAGCGTCCTGGGATCGAGCCCCACATCAGGCTCCCTGCTCGGCGGGGAGTCTACTTCTCCCTCTCCCACTCCCCCTGCTTGTGTTCCCGCTCTCGCTGTCTCTCTCTGTCAAATAAATAAAATCTTAAAAAAAAAAAAAATCACAAATAAAGAAGTAAAATGGTCTCGATTTGCTCATAACATTTGGTCTATATGGAAAATCCTTAAAAATCTACAAACTACTAACTAGTAAAACTCATAAATGAATTTAGCAAGGTCATGGAATACAGGCTTATAGGAAAAATCAATTTCAATTTTATACTCTGGCAACAAACATCTTGCAAATGAAATTTTTAAATTTGACTATAAAATAGCATTCAGAAAACTCAGAGTTATTTAGTTTGTGCTTCTGGATAACTTTTTTTCTTTGAATGAGATCATTTGAATAAAACTAGAAAAGTTTTTCAACTAAAGGCAACATACTATATTCACTTGATCAACAGATTAAATCCTTTCAAAAGTTTTAAATAGACATGTTTTTTGCATAGTCATAACCCTTACAAAACTTGCATCATTATAATGGTGAGTTATTCATTAGGACCATTAAATTGAGCACCACAGGGTGCCTGGGTGGCTCAGTTGGTTAGGCGACTGCCTTCGGCTCAGTTCATGATCCTGGAGTCCCGGGATCGAGTCCCGCATCGGGCTCCCTGCTCAGCAGGGGGTCTGCTTCTCCCTCTGACCCTCCCCCTTCTCATGTGCTCTCTCTCATTCTCTCTCTCAAATAAATAAATAAAATCTTTAAAAAAAAAAATTTAAACTGAGCACCACATACTGTGATTTTAAAAAATAACATTTCCATTCTCTTCCAATAAAATGTAATTCAATCAAAAAGAATTCAAACCAGAAGATATACCAGGGAAAATATGAGATTTGTAACCAGGGTCCTGAACTGTCACTAATTAGCTCTGTGGCCTAAAGGTTATCATTCAGTCTCTAAGCTTCAGTATTTTCCTTCATAAGCATGGCCAGCAATAATTCCCACCTCACAGGGTTTCGTTAAGTTCAAAGAGGGTGAGCTTTTCTGCCCATGAACGCATCGTTAAAATCTCCCCTCCCACCGCCATCATGTCTAAGTCAGAGTCTCCCAAAGCTGAACAGCTGCGGGAGCTCTTCATCAGAGGTCTGAGCTTTCAAACAACCGAGGAGTCTAAGGAGCCATTCTGAGCAATGAGGAACGCTTACGGACTGTGTGGTAATGAGAGATCCAAACACCAAGAGCTCCAGGAGCTTTGGGTTTGTCACATAAGCCACTGTGGAGGAGGTGGATGCAGCCATGAACGCAAGGCCACACAAGGTGGATGGAAGAGTTGTGGAACCAAAGAGGGCTGCCTCAAGAGAAGATTCTCAAAGACCTTGTGCCCACTTAACTGTGAAAAAGATTTTTATTGGTGGCATTAAAGAAGACACTGAAGAACATCATCTAAGAGATTATTTTGAACAGTATGGGAAAATTGAAGTGACTGAGATCATGACTGACCGAGGCAGTGGCAAAAAGAGAGGTTTTGCTTTTGTAACATTTGATGACCATGACTCTGCAGACAAGACCGTCATCCAAAAATACCATACTGTGAATGGCCACAACTGTGAAGTAAGGAGAGCCCTATCTAAGCAAGAGATGGCTAGTGCTTCATCCAGCCAAAGAGGTCGAAGTGGTTCTGGAAACTTTGGTGGTGGTCGTGGAGGTGGTTTTGGTGGGAATGACAACTTTGGTCGTGGAGGGAACTTCAGTGGTCGAGGTGGCTTTGGTGGCAGTCTAGGCGGTGGTGGATATGGTGGCCGTGGGGATGGCCATAACGGATTTGGTAACGATGGAAGCAACTCTGGAGGTGGCAGAAGCTATAATGATTTTGGCAATTACAACAATCAATCCTCAAATTTTGGACCATGAAAGGAGGAAATTTTGGAGGCAGAAGCTCCGGCCCCTATGGTGGTGGAGGCCAACACTTTGCCAAACCATGAAACCAAGGTGGCTATGGTGGTTCCAGCAGCAGCAGTAGCTACGGCAGTGACAGGAGGTTTTAATTACTGCCAGGAAACAAGGCTTAGCAGGAGAGGAGAGCCCGAGAAGTGACAGGGAAGCTACAGGTTACAACAGATTTGTGAACTCAGCCAAGAACAGTGGTGGCAGGGCCTAGCTGCTGCAAAGAAGACATGTTTTAGACGATACTCATGTGTATGGGCAAAAAACTCGAGGACTGTACTTGTGACTAACTGTATAACAGGTTATTTTAGTTTCTGTTCTGTGGAAAGTGTAAAGCATTCCAACAAAGGGTTTTAATGTAGATTTTTTTTTTCTTTTGCACCCATGCTGTCGATTGCTAAATGTAATAGTCTGATCATGACGCTGAACAGATGTGTCTTTAAAAAAAAAAAAAGTTCAAAAGGGGTGAGATACATTTCGTGCTGTAAAGCATTACATAAACAATAGCAATTATTTATTATGAGCTACAGTTCCGTGTGCCACGTGTATCTCCTATTATCTCAATTATTTTATAATTGGGGGAAATAAGCAGAAGGAAGAAAACAGTGAGTCTGACATCCACACTGGCTGGGGGCAACAAATACTAATCTATCAGAAAAACATATTAACCAACTAGCGGGAGAACCAAGAAATTAGCAAGTGGAAAAAGAAACATGTTCAAGTACAGCATTTTTCTGGAGAAAAACACAGAATAGCTATATAATGCAAGAATTTACAAAGTAATCTCTAAAATAGTCATAAAGTCTTTGCTAATTTCATTGCCAAGAGTTTTTGACTTACTAGGGAATTTGATAAAAAATCTAATATACCCCAAATATTCATCTCAATTCCTGGAGTCCCCTGATATTGTCACAAAGTCCATAATCAGAGAGGAAAATGCTTTAGCACTCAGAGGCAAATGGCCCCACATAGGGAAGATTCTATGACAGACATCCTTGGGTCTTGTCCACCCCACACACGGCTGGCTTCTGAAGCCCTGTGTGCCCCTCCACCAGCAGCTCTGAGACGGGGGTGCTCCCCACAGCACTTGCCACCAGTACTAAAACTTCAGGACACAGTGAGATCCAAACCTCGTTAAAAGCTACCCCATATAGAACAAACACTTCAGTCTAATGATCCATGCTTTCTTCCCTCTTGCCGTATTAATGTCTACGTAGTGATCCTGTAAGACTCTTTTCACGTTCAAAGGCAGTACTCCATGCCATGTGCTCTGAACACCTTCTTTCGCTAATGATAAGCCTATGCTGACAAGTCTTTCTCTCCCAATTCCTTTGGTTGATAGCCTGGGGTCAGAGCTGAGCTGACTCTTAGTTTTCCAACCCTCAACCTCATGCTCTCATTAACCAGCTGCATCCCCACTAAGATTACTGCCCTGGAAAATACCGTAAAGCAGTTGCCTTCCTGTGGCCGAAAGTGCAGCCTTGAAATCGGGCAGGACCTTCTTTTGCATAAGCACTGTGCTAAAATTGCAGAAACTAAGATCACGTCTTGGGTTTTGTAATGATGCTAGGCAAAGTACATTCAAGAAGAAAAGGAACTGCCCCAGAGTGTAAAGACTGGGGTGAGTCTCTCAATGTCCAGTGTCCTTTGTCTTAAGGTGTGATGCACTATGTCTTTAGAGAAAAATAAAAATAGGGGGCACCTGGGTGGCTCAGTTGGTTGAGCGTCCAACTCTTGATTCAGCTTGGGTCATGATCTCAGGGTTGTGAGATCGAGCCCCCACGTCGAGCTCTGAGCTCAGTTCAAAGTCTGGCTTGAGATTCTCTCTCTCCTTCTCCCTCTGCCCCTCCGCCACCCTCACTTCACTTTCTCTCTCCCTCTCTAAAAAAATAAAAAATGTTTAAAGAAAGAAATCATGCAGATTAGAAAACTACCAATTGACAGTGAAATACAACTTGAAGAATAAGAGGGCAGAATACAAAATAATGCTTTTCTCAAGTGATGATGGTAGAGTGCTTTATTTTTTTTTTTTAAGATTTTATTTATTTATTTATTTGACCGAGAGAGACACAGCGAAAGAGGGAACACAAGCAGGGGGAGTGGGAGAGGGAGAGGCGGGCTCCCCACCGAGCAGGGAGCCCGATGCGGGGCTCGATGCCAGGACCCTGGGATCATGACCTGAGCCAAAGGCAGACGCTTAACAACTGAGCCACCCAGGCGCCCTGGTAAAGTGGTTTATTAAATTAAAACAGGTTATAAATGAAATTCAGATATATTGCAGTAATTTTTAAAATAAATTTTAGCATGCATGAGGATTCCAAAAATATACTCATTCTACGGTAACTGCTTAATATATGTCAAAACACAAGAAACACAAAAATGCGGGAAAATCACTGATTAAAGTTAATGGGACAGGGCGCCTGGTGGCTTAGTTGGTTAAGCGACTGCCTATGGCTCAGGTCAGGTCATGATCCCGGGGTCCTGGGATCGAGTCCCACATCGGGCTCCCCCTACTCTGAGAGGAGCCTGCTTCTCCCTCTCCCTCTGCCTGCCACTCCCCCCACTTGTGCTCTCTCTCTTCATCAGATAAATAAATAAAAATCTTTAAAAAAGAAAAAAAAGTTAATGGGACAGTGAGACAACAGTATACAATAAAATTAACCTCAATCTACATCTTATACCAAACATGGAATAAGGTCCAGAGAGCTCCAAGAGATAAGCATTTAAAAAACCAGAATAGAGCAGAAGAGCATATTTATCCCACTTATTAAGGGGAAAATAATTTCTGGCCAAGAAAATATAGGATAGAGAGATGGTGTAGTTGAGTATAAAAATGTAAACACTAATGAACAAGTTTTACACTACAAAAAAAAAATGAAACAAATAGAAAACCAATCACAACAGAATGAGGAAAGATGTAAAGTACAATGAAGAAAAGTTTATATCCAAATTATGTAAAAATTGATAAAATTACAAGATGTCAGCATTCAGTTTCAACTTGGTAAGTTTTTCTTTTAAGATTGTTTAGTTTTAGTTGTGAGAAAATATTAAAATCAAATCATCACATTCTCACTACCTCCTGAAGTAATAAGCACATTAAAACAACCTCAAGGCAAGTATATGCCTACTAAACTAGCAAAAAGTATTAAAATTACAAAGCCTGAAGCCAAAGAGAAAACCTGTATATGTACTCTCACAATATAAATCGGTTCCATCTTTCTAGAGATCAATACAACTATGACCCTTTGACACAGTATTTCTCCTTTGGGTACAGACTGCAGGAACCCAAAAGAAAAAGGAAAAAAAAAAAACCCTAATTTGCACAAAAATATTCACAGATGCACTATTTATAATAGGAAAAAGAGCTCCCAAACAGAGGAGCTAAGAACTTGTGGCATATAAACACAACAAAATATTACAATGTTATTTTTCTTTTTTTTTTCTTTTTTCAAGATTTTTTTTAATTCAAGTTAGTTCACATATAGTGTAGTATTAGTTTCAGGGATAGAATTTAGTGATTCGTCCAGTGCTCATTACATCACATGCCCTCCTTAATGTCCATCACCCAGTTACCCCTTCCCCCCACCCACCTCCCCTCCAGAAACCCTCAGTTTGTTTCCTAGAGTTCAGTGTTTCTTATGGTTTGTCTCCCTCTCTGATTTCATCTTGTTATATTTTTTTCCTCTCCTCCGCTATGATCCTCTGGTTTGTTTCTTAAATTCCACATATGAGTGAGATCATATGATAATTGTATTTCTCTGATTCACTTATTTCACTTAGCGTAATACCCTCTACTTCCATCCACGTCATTGCAAATGGCAAGATTTCATTCTTTTTGATGGCTGAGTAATATTAGGAATTGTATGTCGTGTATATAGGACATAGTATAGAATTGTATACAGTATGCACAGAAAAATAATGTTCATGAAAAAAACACATGCCGATGACAAGGAGGAAAAGAAGAGAGGAAGGGAAGTCTGTTCATTGACCAAGACCTGAAATGAAGCTGGAATGTCATCAACGGTTTTATATTTAAGTTCTTCACCTTGGGGCTCACAGCCTTACCTCCCATTACCTTTGTGCTGGGTCCAAAGAAGTGTTTGTCAAAGTACTATCACGAAGGACCAGATTGTTTGGTGTTGTGTTTTGTTTTGTTTCTGTTCGTTAAGGAAAGACATGTGACCCCACTGCACATGACTAGTCCCGGCTCCAGCCAGATGTGAACTCACTCCCACGTGTAAGTCCCACAAAACCCAAATGGGTCTATACGCTGTTCAAACAAACTAATCCACTGCTCACACACTTGGATGTGGCTACAATGTCAAGTTGCTATAGAAATTTCTAAATACTTACTCTCAGTGTTTGTACTTATCTCTTAGAACCAGTCAGCTGACCCCACTTGAGTAGCCCTGGCCTCGAGCTACCAGCTGCCATGTTCACACCCCATTCTTAGAACTGCCCAGGACACTACAGTTCTAAGAGTGTCTCATGGTCAAGAAAGCGTCACTTCAAGGACCTTCAGAGATATCGGGTCAGGCCCCAGACCTTCAGGGCAGCCCACACCAAAACCAGCTACATACACCAATGTCTCCATGAATGTACAAGCTCCCCAGATCCCACGCCTGTCCACTTGCCCACCGACCATCCTGTGCCCGTAACCGATTCCCATATCTCCTGGCTCATCACCCTGTGCGGCTGGTCCGTAACCCCAAATCCACTTGTATTTCATGACTGTTAGCATCTCATTCATTGAAATCTGTGGCTGTGAGAAACCCAGGCTTCCTTCGTTTGAGGCCACCATGTTCAGATCCTGAATCACACATTCGCTCCTTGAGGGCAGGGAAATCACGTCACGTTCATTACTAAATTCCAACAACAGTACCTGGTACAGAGCAGAACTGAAGAAACAGTTATGGACTGAGTGGCAAAGTTTGTGTAGTTATCTGTCATCCAGTCCCAGAGTTTAGTCTCTCTCTGGAACTGATGCTCAGCACCCTTCTGATCTGTATTTAAGACACTTCAGAGCACAGGCTCCATTTCAAGTCTTTGACAGAACTAAACAATGAGGATCATCAAAAGAAAGCTGGTGGCCATGCGCAGAAAAACAGCCCCCCGCATCTGCAGGAACACTAGTTTTTCAGGTTTGTTCAGCTAAAGCCAGGCTCTCAGCAGCTTGAACACTTGAACCCCATTACGCCAGCTCCCCTCCTTTCTGTGACCAAGCCAGCCTCACTGGTTCTTCAGGACAGTGGCTGCCATGTCCACACCCCATCCCACCTTAGACCCGATCTGGCTCCTACTTCCAGAGGCCACCCAGCCCAGAACGGCCAGCGTGCACTTCTCTGCATGCTCTCAGCTAAATAACATTCTAATGATCATTTTCATGATGCACTAAACAGAAACTTGACCAACATGCAAGCCTTGATTTGGAAACCTGAAATCACAAGGAAGTCAAGAAATGTTATTCAGGGCTTCTCTAAAGTTCTATAATGATCCCCTACGACAATTTCTCCCACCCCACAATCAAACCACGAGAAAGGAGCAACATTAGAAGCCCATGCGTTGCTTAAACCCACTCTTCAAAGCATTTCAATATAAACATGATATACAAACATTCGTTCATTTATTACTTTACATTGTATTATCCTACATACTATTCAGAAGTAACATCGAGGACAAAGTCACCTTTCTTTACACTGCTGCCTTTTAAAAGAATATTAAAACCAAGGCGAATATAAAGGTCAAGGTTACATGTTTTCAGAATAGCAAGTGAACAGTCATTTTAAATAAAAATACACCACATTGTCAATCGGTAGGTGTTCAGAGAACTTTGTTTACAATGGTGTGTTCTTGGAGACCCGCCTCCGCTGGAAGACAGGAAGGGAGAGCGAGCCTGTGTGAGCAGTGCACTCAGGAAACAAAGTTGCTGCGTAACGCTTGTTTTTATAACCACAGACCAGTGTGGAAAACAAGCCACCATCGCCGCAAAGAGAAACATGATGTAGGTAGATGGTGTCACAACAAATCCCCGTCCAGGACAAGTTCCATACTAACACCCAGGAAGGCTGTGACTCACACATTCATGCAAAAGGGAGATGAAAAGGATAAGAAAACAGTATTTTCTAGAACACCGATTTAAAAAAAAGGGAAGAAAAAGAAATGAACTGAATTAGCTACTTGTAACAGTGAAAGGAAATCACCTGAATGCCCAAGAACAGATTTCTTTAATAATTTATACATCCATGAACTGTAACACCCTTCAGCCATTTAAAATTTATTTGTAATGCATATTTACTGAAAGGAAAAGCTCTGCACAGTATTTTTCAGTGAAAAGAGCAGGGAACCAAACAGCGCTTATGATGTTACAATATACACAACATGCTGGCCCTGCACGTTGTGGGACGTCATCTCTGCACGCACAACTCACATGGGATGGTTTTCTTTGTGTTGTCTTTCACATTTTCTAATTTTCTTCAGGAAAATTGATTCATTTTTTAATAGTAGAAACAACCAAATGTGTTTAGAACTAAGTATATGTATACATAATAGAACAAGCAGTTGTTCAAATGTTCCCTTTTCTTAACCCAAGCTTTCTTCAGGCTTTCGCAACCAACTTCATAGCTCTAAGAGGCTGTATGTTCTTGCTACTCCCAGTAATTAAGATTATCTGAAA